ATCCTCCGGGAGTGTGGGGTCAGTTCTGACCCTTTTGAGGCCTTGCTGGAGTGCAAGGCTGCCATGTTCGCTGCGAAGGATGTGCTGACCCGTCAGATGTTTCGTGCAGGTCCCCGTACTGGTCGTGAGAAAATAGCGGTTTGTCTCAGGATGCTGCGTGCGGCCCGTACAGGTCACCTTGTTATGATCATGCGTTGCCAACACGCTCTGCCTGAACTTAGTCGGTTTTATTGCTTTGAGAATCTTGGGTATACTGATTATCTTGGGTTCCATGAATATATTCGCGAGCTGAACTCTACGATGATTAATGATATGATCCACACTGAGTGTACGGACTGTCTTGGGAGAATCGATGAGGCTCGTCGTGCCAGGCTTCAAGCTATTTGTCGGTCCTGGTCGGTTAAACGTCGGAAGCTTGCGATCTTCTCGGTGTCTGACCCAGTGGACGAGGCCCCCGCCAGTATCGAACAGAGTGCTCGCAACCTAGCTAACTTTTGGGGTGATGTTCATCGGTGCCCTGATGTACTCCCTGAGCCTGATCCTGATGTGCTTGCTGCCCTTCGGAGTGAAATTCAATCGGTCTCTCCTGGTATCCAATGGGAACTCATGGAACATGAGTTTCGCTCTATCGTTGTACACCGTAAAGACTCAGCTGCAGGACCTGACGGGGTGCCATATAGCGGGTGGAAAAACGGGGGCGAAACTGTTTTGTCGGCCCTGTATGCGGCCTATCGTGCTCTGCTTCGCGGAGCCTGCCCACCTTCTGGATTCAACTTCGGTCAGCTCGTGTTCCCTCCCAAGGTTGAAGTGAGCGATTCTGGTCCTAGGACTGTTCTCGAGGCCCGTCAGACTAGGACCCTCACTCTGAGCAACACAGATAACAAGCTCGTCTCCGCTGCCCTGGCCGACCCGTTCCAGATCCAGGCCAGGTTCTCCGTGGCGGAGTGCCAGCGCGGGTTCATCAAGAAACGTAATATGCTTGATAACGTGGTTGAGTTGGAGTCCTGGGTTCTGGAGTGGGCCTGCCATCGGGGCCTCGAGTTCCCAGGGATCATGCTCCTGGACATCGCCTCCGCGTTCCCGAGTGTGTTGCACTCCTGGATCTTCGGGGTCTTGGAAGCCATGGGCGTTCCCAGGCACATCGTTCGTGCGGTCCGGTCCTTGTACGACGACATATATGTCGACATACTGTTTGCTGGCTCAAGGTTCTCTGGCTTCACTGTCACACGCGGCATGAAGCAAGGTTGTCCACTCTCTGCTTTGATATTCGTGATAATCTTTGATCCAGTCGTGCGAGGCTTACAGCGGCGACTTTGCCCGCACCCTGGGCTCCCTCTTGCGTGTGCTGATGACATTGGCATTGCGACTGGGGATCTTCGTCTTACTGTACCTATGGTGCTGTCCTGGATGAGCGACACGGGCATCGTCACAGGCCTGAGGCTCCACACGGGGAAGTGTTGGGTGGTCATTGCGCTCGACATGGACATAGAGGTCGCCAAGCAGCGGTTGCGCGACCTTGACATCCCCGTGGACGAGGTGCAGATCGGCCCCCACGCTAAGTACTTGGGCGTATATCTCGGTCCAGAGGGTAGTGCAGCATCTTGGCGTGGTCCTTGTCGTAAACTCCTGGAACGAGTAGCCCATATCAGAGAGCTGAAAATATCCCTGGCGCAGAATATTCGTGCGTATAACATGTTGGCGTTCCCTGTCTTGTCCCACATCAGCCAGTTCTACATGGCGGACTCCAGAGTGTATGACACTGAACACGTTGCCCTGCAGCGACTGACTGCTGCTCCGCGACATTCGATAGCGACGGCATTACTCAAGAACCTGGGCTCTTTGGGATTTGATGCAGCACCTCGCGACATTTCATGTGAAAATAGGGCCGCGCTGTTTCGTGCTGCCTTGAGAAGTTCGGTTTTCCCAAGCATCGCTGCCAGATTTCACACTATTTCTGAATATGATTTGGACGTCTTGGCTGTGCCCCGATTGAAGAACTGGTTGAACGGATCGGTTACCATGACGTGGATTGTGAATTTCACCCAGTTGTCTGCGATCGCCCCCCGCCTGGCGGACCCAGATTGTGATGATGTGCAGAAAAAGATGACGTCCTTGTTGAAATCACGCTGTCCTGTCCAGCCTGTCTCCCCTCTGTTGCACCGCCGTATCCAGTATTTCTGGCCAGAGGCTCCGCACAAGGTCGCTGATCGGATGTTCGTGCTGATCAATATGCTAACGAAGAAGGTGGGCCCGTTCGCTTCCACCTCCCTGATCAAGAGTGTGTGCAACGCGTGGCCGACCACGAGACGATTTCGAAATGGAACAATGTGCTGCAGGTTCGGATGTAATGCGATGTTCGGGGATTCGGTCGACCACTACCTCCACTGCCCTGCTGCTCTTGAAGTGCTGAAGGACGCCCTTCCCTCTCTCCCCTCCTCGTACAGAGCTTGGTCTAGGGTGCAACATTTTTTTATCCACGAGACCCCCCCCATAAATAGTAATGAGCTTTTATCGGCCCTCCTGGTCCATGACGTTTTACTTTCCGCGTACAATACCCTGAGGTCCCAGGACCGTTTCGGGCCCGACTGTCTCCTGTCGCTCTTTAGGGCCAGAGTGCGTGTCATCGCCCGCAGACATGCGGGAGCGCGTGCTGCTCTCACGTCCAGAGGATGGTGATCGAGGCCCGACCCTCCGCTGCCGCCGCCTGCTGCCGGCCACGTCGGTCTAGGACTGCGGTTTGCCCTCGTCTCGTCTCTTTCTTGTCCGCCTGCCCTCTTCTCGTCGGTCAGCCTGTGCGCTCCTCCTCCTCCTCCTCCTCCTCCTCCTCAATCCTCCTCCCCCTCAATCCTCCTCCTCCTCCTGCCCCTCAATCCTCCTACTCCTCCTCCTCCGCGGTGCCCTTCGCACAAGAGGGGGGGGGCGCGGAGGCGAGGCTGCGGAGGGCAGGCCCGCGGAGAAGGCGCTCAGGCCCACGGCCCCGCGGCGGGCGCCGGGGCCGCCCTCCTCGGCGCCGGCCGGGGCCCCCGCGCTCCGCGCAGCCCGCCTCCGTGCTCCGGTTCCTTCTGAGCCAGATGGTCTGGTACTGGAGATTTTCGGTAGCGATTTCGACGCACCCCGAATTTCGGTAGCGACCGGATCTTCGTTTGAGGGCGTGGAAATAGCGGGTTTCAGAACGCTCTGATACCGGTATTGGGCGCTACATTTCGGTATTTCGGTAGCGACCGATCTCTGCGGAGCGCTACCGGAAATTTTCGGTAGCGGACCATCAGGGGAGCCTATGTTTCTTCGGGGCCCCCAGACCTTTGTTTCTCCCGTTGCTGGCGTTTGGCCTACAGCAGCTCCTATACGACATGGCCGCCCAGCCAGCCAACATCATGGGAGGCAGCTTCGTGAGGCGTGTTTTTCTTCCTGCGCCTCTTGGCGAAGCGTCTTGGCGTGCCTACGGTCCTACCAAACAATGTTCCGAGAACCTTTTGTGGCTCCCGCGACACGTTCTTAGAACACGTCTGGCTGGGACTGCTTCGTTTTCTCACATCGGGCGTGTGTTATAAGAACATTGTTTTTGTTATTGGAGCTTTTCTGGGTTCTGAGAACATCTCGTGGTAGGACTATGGGAATGCCGGGACGGTTCGTCCCTGCTGCACCGTGCTCCGGTTCTTTCTGATCCTCTGTTTCTTCGGGGCCCCCAGACGGGGTGGTGACCGTCGCTCGGACGATGGGCAGCCTCCTCGATGGAGGAGGTTGCCCGCTGGTCGTGCGGCTCTCCTCCCACGTTCGTCGATTTGAGCCCGCATCTCCCTGCGCTGCTGGCTCGCTTCCTTGGTGCACCAAGGATTTGGAAGCGCTGACGCGGATACCAAAACAAAAAAAACAGTGTGGTGTCGGTGGGGATTCGGGGTCACCGCACGGTTTTGGGACTCGGGTCGTTCTCCGAGGAGGTCTCGGGCGACTTGGGCATCCGACGTCCCAGAACCGTGCGTTGACGGACCGTGCGGTGAGGTCTTGGGGGATTTCGAGGTCATCGTACGGCCTGTCACCGCACTTTTTCGGGACTCCAAAGTTTCTCCTCCCTCCTGCTGTTCCTCCCGCGCCTTCTTCTCATCCTGCCCCCTGCCTCCAGAAGTCAATTTCCGCGCTGAAGGCTCTAACAGTTGTGATTATCGTCCCGCTGCTCTTGCTCATCATGTTTGCACAAATTCGTCCTCATTGCGGTCAAGTCTGCCTGCCGCCTAGTGCAGCAGCCTTTCCCGAAGGACTTTTTCGACTAAGGGTATTATTTTAAGGACTTCGCACCTCGGGGTGTGAGAGAGAGGTATCAATCACTGACATACAACAATGCTTGTGAACGTGACGACGGGGACATAAATCAGCCAACGTGGTCGCTCAAACTTAATAAACTGTGAAGTTGCATGTGCAACATGTAGGCCATGTGCGATGCTCTCTTGACCCCTCAGCCCCCGTTTTTCCTCCTCACCACCCCTCCTCCTGTCCTCCTTCCCCTCTCCTAGCTCGTCCTTCATTCCTTTTCCTCCTCCTCCTCCGTATCGTTCTGACTATTCTTACCCTGTGCCACCACTCCTCACCTCCTTTTTTTCAAGGGCGTAAGAAACACCCCTGCCCCTGGATTGCGAGGCGCTGTGCGCTGAACCTTCTGTTTGCTGACAGGGTAAACCCCTGCGTGTCGCGCGTGCCGCGCGGCGTCCTGGCGACTCTCTGGCCTTCGTGGAGGTCCCAGGAGGTTCACAGACCACGCACTTGTAACCCAGGGTAGGGGCGTTTTTGTTTCATCCCTCAACTGTCTCCAATCAGGCTTACCCTATGGGAGTCCCAGCACATTCTCTGCAGTTCGTCTTTGGGACCCCCCCCTTTTCCCAAAGGCACGCTCCTCCCCCTCCCCTTTTTCCAATGGCACCCCCTCTGATTTGCTCTCGCTTGCTTGCTGGCTGATATCTTATCATCCGCGCCATCTTGGCCAGTCCCCCCCCTGGTGCACGGCCGAGGTCTGCTCGCAGGGCACCGTGAAGGCGGCCGGGTCCACAGACGTCCGCGAGCAGCAGATCCTGTTCCGGCGCGGCATGCGGGGCCCTCGGCTGGTGGACAGTCCCGGCCGCTCCAGTCGGGCCTGTCCCTGCCCCTCTACAGGGGGAGGATTCAAAGATAGTCAAAAAATAGTCCGGGGGCTATGCTTTGAGCAAGTTTTGGTTATTTAGGGGGTATTTTCTGGACTTTTTCGAATTTTTTCGCCACAGATCCGCCCGTATGGGGACATGCCCGACCTAATCCCAGCCTCTCCTTTCTCCTCCTCCTCCTTTCCCCCATGCGCCCTCCCTCCCTGCCCTCCTCTCTCCCCCTTTCCCGCCCTCCCTCCCTGCACCATCAGTCCTCCCCCAGACATCCCAGCTGCTCCGATTTTTGTTTCGATCCGTGGGCCCCCGAGGTCTGGACCACTTCCCTAGGGCCAGTCTTTGCCGAAGCCGGGCGAGATGGCCCCCCAGAGGCCGAGAACGGCAAAAAAACGCCTGCTCCAATTTTGTTGGGAGCGTCGGACCTCAGGCCCCCGCCC